TCCGCCCCGCCCGCCGGGCCGCGGTCTCCGCCTGTAGCTGGCTCTGCCGGCCGCTGGCTCCGAGACGCTAGCTGAGGGCGGAGGGGAGGGGCAGGCGGCGCCCGGGAGGGAGGCACCGGGCCGCAGGCCAAGCCGACCAGGGTGAGTGAAGCCGGGTCGGAGGGAGCCGCGACTGGAAGGAGGGACGCTTGGCTTCCCGGGGCGGCGGGTGGGGGCTCGGTCACCCATGGGGACGGGCAGGCGGATCTCTGCGGCCTCCGGGTTGCTGCCTTTCCCAGGCTTCTGCACCATTGACGTTCTGTGCCCGCCCCTCGCCTTGTTTCCCGGTGCCCGTCGCAGCTGTCAGGCCCCGCGGGCTCCGGTCGCGGTCACTCGCACACAGGTTACCTCATGGCTCCCTTTCTCTTCACTTGCCCAAGCCCCAGCTCACGGGGAACCTGTTTTCTGACCTCACTTCCCCTGCTCCAGTTCTGCCTTGCTTGGATTCTCTGAAATCTGACCCTCTCCAGGGGCACTGTGACAAGCAGGAGGGAAAAAGCAACCTTACTCCTGAGCAGGGAGTACGATCTCACCCGCCCCGCCCACGCCCCACCCGCGGCTAGGGCCAGGGTTCTCTGGTGATCGGAGCAAGACTTGTCCCTGTGCCCTTGGGCTACTCATTTCAATAAAATGACCCTTTTTCTGTTCAACAGCACTGGCTGCTAAAACTTCCTTCTGCAGGCGTCTTGCCAGCCAGATATGTGAGGAAAGGGGGGGAAATGAAAACCCTAGAACCCAGACCCCCGTGGGCATGGGATTGTCTTGGAACCAGGAGAAACCAGTTTAGGGCTGCCACCTTAAATGCACAGGGGTGCTGTTTCAGGCTGAACATCTTAGGAAGCGCAGGCTGAAGACAGTACCCACTCCCTCCTTTGCTGAGATTTTTCCCAGAACTTCCACAGGTTTTCTATCAATGGTCTGGAAAGGCTTACAGCTGGCCTAGTGGGTTCTGCAGAAAGCGGGTTCCTATCAAGGGACTTTGCTACTGGGGGAGATGCAGAAATAGGTTTCAGTTAGGTGTCCAGATATTTAGCTAGGGTGGGTGGGAATTTGCCAAGGAAGCTAAAGAACAAGAAAGCCTTAAAGAGGGGGAATGGGTGCCCTGTGTGTTAAAAGTGAAGAGAATACAGGGGCTGAAATTCAGAAAAGAGAGGTAAAATAAAAGTTTCCCTTTATTGCTTTATCAGGAATTTTCCTTTCTCATGGGAAGTTTCTGAAAAGGAAACTTCCTTAACTGGGAATCAGTCCAGGATGCTCTCTTGAGGCCCTAAACCATTTTTGGACTTTTGAGATGAAAGGGAAATTTGTTCTTCCTGTGCATGGGCTTAGGGTTCCCACATACCTCTTTTGTGAAAGACAAATAGGCAAGAAAATAAATGACTTGTTATCTGTCATTACCTATCATGACATTCTGGGTTATTGCAAATGTTACTGAATGGATGGGAGCCAGGACAGCAAAATTCTAACCTGTTCTTGGGGGCCTTTCACTGGTTCTGACTACTTGGGTACTGAATAAGAATCGCAAAAATATGTTGCCAAGCAGAAAGAGATTTTGTACTGTCTCATAATCTCTGCAATAAAGCAGGGAGGCCCCTATCACAAGTGGGACCTGACCTGTTTTTAGGATGTCCAAAGAATGGAAGAGCTCACAATCTGGTCTTGTGCACTACAGGATTATTAAGATTTTTTTTTATTTAACCTAAATCTCTTCTCTTTTTATCAAACTTACTTCTTCTGTTTTATATAGAAGACACTTTCTTTTTGTTCATCGGTAGTATCATTCATCAGTCTCTTCCAGACAAGAAAAACTATGTCCATTGTTTTTAACTTTTCTAATAGCTGTGTTTCCCATCTCCTCGACTTTCATTTTTTCTGATGAATACACTGGCTTCTCCATACCCTTTCTTAAAATGAGATCTGACTGGTACCTACCAAACAAGTTTGCTCCTGTGTCTCAAATCTCATAGCTATTAATTCACCCCAGGGCTATGTTAGCAGTGCGGCTTCCCCTTTTTCCAAGTTCATACCCATGAAATTCTTTTTTACTTTTCCCAGTTAAATATCAGCTTCTCACTGACCAACAATTTCTCATCTGCTAAGAGTTGCCTTAGAGCAGTGTTTTTCAACCTTTTTAAACTCAAGGCACACTTGAACTTATAGTTCAACTTATGCAACACACTTAAATTATGTTGATCAAAAAACAAAAAAGAGTTAAGGCTGAGTGCCCAAAGCTCAGTGGTTAGGGCGATAGCCACATACACCGGGGCTGGTGGGTTCAAATTCTGCCCGGGCCTGCTAAACAACAATAACAACTGCAACAACAACAAGAACAAAAATAGCCAGGCATTGTGGCAGGCACCTGTAGTCCCAGCTACTTGGGACGCTGAGGCAAGAGAATCGCTTAAGCCCAAGAGTTGCTGTGAGCTGTGACACCATGGCTGTCTACCAAGGGTGACATAGTGAGACTCTGTCTCAAAAAAAAACAGAAAGAAAGAATAGGCTGAGGAAAGGTGTTTTATGCCTATAATCCTAGCACTTGGGGAGGCTAAGGCAAGTGGATTACTTGAGCTCAGGAGTTCAAGATCAGCCTGAGCAAGAGCAAGACTCATCTCTACTAAAAACAGAAAAACTAGCTGGGTATTGTGGCAGGCACCTGTAGTCCTAGCTACTCGGGAGGCTGAGGCAAGAAGATCACTTGAGCCCAAGAGTTTGAGGTTGCTATGAGCTGTGACGCCACGGCACTCTACCCAGGGCATCTACCCTGAGATTTTGTCTCAAAAAAATACATATGTACATAAATAAATATGTATATATGTATATATACACACCCACAGTGCTTTGAACTTCTTTTTTTATTATTAAATGATAGCTGTGTACATTAATGCAATCATGGGCACAGTGTGGTGTTTTCATATACAATTTGAAATATTTTCATCAAACTGGTTAACATGGCCTTTATGTAATTTTCTTAGTTATTGTGTGAAGACGATTATATTCTACTCTTAGAAAGATTCACTTATACCCTTGTAAGATAAACCATACAAGTGATCCCTCCAATCCCCCTCCCTCCATTGAACTTCTTTTGAGAATAATTTAATTGGCTCAGATCAGTGAGTAGGACACTGGCCACATATACCGAAGGTGGCGTGTTCAAGCCCAACCTGGGCTTGCTAAACAACAGTGATAACTGGAACCAAAAAGTAGCCAGGCGTTGTGGTGGGTGCCTGTAGTCCCAGCTACTTGGGAGGCTGAGGCAAGAGAATCACTTAAGCCTAAGAGTTTGAGGTTGCTGTGAGCTGTGATGCCACAGCACTTTACCAAGGATGACATAGTGAGACTCTTTCTCAAGGAAAAAAAAGGATTTAATTAATGATCTTTAAAAATTTTTATAGTACATGAGTGTACCATGGCACATCAGTTGAAAATCACTGCTTTAGAGTCTTCTACCTGCTTTTCAAGTTACTGGTCTTTCTATCATATTTATTCCCAGTCATTATTTTCTATATGAGAGTGACAGATCATGTGTCTCTTTGTTGAGGCTTGTCTTGGGTGAGGTACCGTTTGGTTCACCACCCTAATAGAGGTCCTTGGCTGGACTTCTACCTGTAGTAATCATTTTATTCTAAACTAACTGATGAGAATGTGATTTGTAGCAGAAAATCTTAGTTTACATTCCATCTTTGTTGAGTGCAGGTCTATGTGTATTCTTTCCTGCATGTTTCCAAATTGCTTTCTTTTATGGCTTGGCGCCTGTAGCTCAAGTGGCTATGGTACCACCAACATACACCAGAGCTGGCAGGTTCAAATCCAGCCTAGGCCTGCCAAACGACAATGACAACTATAACCAAAAAATACCCAGGTGTTATGGCGGGTGCCTGTAGTCCCAGCTACTTGGGAGGCTGAGGCAAGAGAATCGCTTAAGCCCAGGAGTTGGAAGTTGCTGTGAGCTGTGATGTCACGGCACTCTACCCAGGGCAACAGCTTGAGGCTCTGTCTCAAAAAAAAAAGCAATAACAACAACAAATTATTTACTTTTCTGTACTTTCAATCATTAAAATATAAATGGATAGCTTTTAAGTTCCCAGGATTATTGTTTTTCTTTTAAATGAACTTATTACAGCCTTCAGAGGTATTCTGTTTCCACCATGAAGTTCCCAAAATAACAGTAAGTTTGCTCTGTAGCACCTGCCAATTTCTTAGTTCCTCCAGGAAGTTTGGCTCAGGCTCTGTTAATTAGAACATGTCAAGCTTTTAAAGTTCATCTTCCCTCAAGCTCCTCTTATCTAGTTTCATCCATTATCCCTAATATTAACTCTTTCCATTTTCATGGGCATAGCTAATATGAATTTGTTCCAGGTCACAATTTCGGTTTGCAGCAAAAATGCTTTCAGAACAGACAGCAGCCCTGGGGACAGGATGGGAGTCAGTGAATGTACAGCTGGATGGCACAGAGCCTCAGATTGAAAGGGGAGGCCAAGAAGAGGGGCCATGGAGAACAGCACCAGGGCCAATGGAGCATCTATGCTGTGACCTTGAAGAGGAGCCACAGTCCCTTCAAGAAAAGGGTGAGAGTCCAGAGGGTGTGTGGGAAGCACAATGCATGGAGTAGTCTCCTAATCTCTTTTCAAAAAGTAGAGATAAAAATTGCCAAATTGCCATGGACCAAACAGCATAACCAATACCAGGACTGGCCTTGGTCTCAGGTAGAGAATGGGCTCCTGAATTTTCCAAACCATGTGACTAGGCTTCTCCTGTTTTTTGCATAATCACTCTCTTTACATGCAAGCACAGAGTTAATGATATTGAATGTGGGAGATGAAGGAAGTGACAGAGACACTGATTACTATTGGAGAACACACCCAGTAAAATGCACTCTACTAGATGAAAATTACATTCAAGTAATATAAATTCAGACCACAGCTAGTCTAACTAAAGGCCACCTAATACCCTTACAGAGCATTTTGAGTGAAAGCCTCTTTCTTCCTCTATACTTATGTATTTGAGTTTTACCAATGGGAATAGATGTGACCTATAAGACCCTCTAAAATAGGGCCCAGGCTCTTACTGGAAAAGGGTGGATAGTTCATCTCTAATGGTTCCTCTTCTCCTCCAGCTCAGTCTGCTCCCTGGGTTCCTACAATTCCCCAGGAGGGAAGCACTGGAGACTGGGAGATGGCAGCTGCACTTCTCGCTGCCGGATCACAGGTGGGCTATGCTTCCCTAGGCCTCTCCCAAGATCACATTGCTGTTGTTTTGAGGCTTTAGTGATTTGTTAGAATCATCACTAATGGTATTTTCATCATATAACCAAATAGATTCTGTCCTTTTCTAAAGAGCTCACAAAATTCTTGAAAAATTAAATGGAAGCATACAAGAAGAGAGAATTCCTTGATGTTAGAGTTTTTAAGTGGTTGGTATGTCATCCATAGGGGAATTTTTAAGAACAATTAATCAGCATCCTTTAAGAAATGAAATGGGGCAGAACCACAGAGGGGAAATCTGTGTGGATTCAGAAGGCAATAGGGGAGCCATGGAAAGATACTAATATTAATAATATAATAATAATAATAATAATAGAAGTTACATTCCCAGACGCCTTACCAAGCATGGTATTTTCTGAGTTATGTATTTTAAATCATTTAATTCTGGGAACAATTCAATTATCCCATTTCACAGATGAGAAAATGGGGTAGAGAGAGATCAAAGCACTTGTGTAAGGTCATACTGCTAGAAAGTGGCAAAGGGAGGAGTCATGTGGCTTCAGATGCTGAGCTCTTAACTGCCATTACTATGCTGCCTAAAAAGTAAAGGCTATGGTGTGGCAAAGGAGGCAAGAAGAACATTTTATCTACATTATTTTGTGCTCATAGAAAAGGAAAGGTCAAATGGAGGAAGGAAGAGCTTGTGCCACCTCCAATTTCTTATGGTCCCACTTAGAAAACTTCTAGCAACATTACCCTCACTCACTCTTGACCATCTGCCTTTATTCCTCTCTTTATTTCCCTTCTACCAAAACTATGTGCCCTTCTCTGGGCAGTTATTTTCCTAGGTCCTTTCTTGTCCTATGTCCTCTGCCTCAGCCTTTTATCCTGAGATCATGTTTTCCTTATGAAACAGCTCCTGACAGAAGATGCTACTTTTTTTTTCAGGGCCTAGTAACCATAAAGGATGTGTCTCTATGCTTCTCTCAGGAAGAGTGGCGGAGCCTGGACCCCTCTCAAACAGACTTTTATGGAGAATATGTCATGCAGGAAAACTGTGGGATAGTAGTCTCTCTGAGTAAGCATGACCTTCCCCAGCCAATACTGTACTCTGGGAGGACAGAGCCATCTGCTTCAAGGATGTTGGATAGTGTCTGCCTAGGACTCTTTTTTGGCAGGGAATCTAGGCTTCCACCAAAGAAAGAACACTGGGGATAATTCCAAGAGAATGGAAGTAAAGCATTATTTTGAAAGAATAATAGCACATAATGCTGAACTGTGGAGTAAAGAACTTGAGGCTTTCTTGGTTAGGAAATGGGAGGTTCTTACAAAACAGAAAGAGGGACATCTGGAACTGGATCCTTGGAAACTTGGGAACCATCTGGGGCAAGATGGGGGTATGCAGGGTGAGACAATTATAGAAGGACTGCAGTGAAGTTCTGACCATATAGGACAGTGGGATTAAAGTATTTGAGTAGAAGAGAACAGGCTCTTTGGGAAGAAGAATATGAATTTCTAGGCAGAGAAGAAGGATTTAACAGGGTTGGGGAGAGGTTTGTATCTGGCCATCTTTTATCTAGAGTTCCAAGGAATAATCTAGAGAGCAGCTTTTTTTTAGAAGTAGAGAATTACTGTTGAATTAATTGACATCTTTATTTTCCTTTTTCATGGGCAGGATTTCCAATTCCTAAACTGGACATGCTTTCTCAACTAGAAGGAGGAGAAGAGCAATGGGTCCCAGACCCCCAGGACTTAGAGGAGAGGGACATTCTGAAGGTCACATATACAGGTAAGGGCTTAGAATAGATTTTCAGCCACTGCCTTCTGCTCTCCTGGGTTGTCATTACATAGCCCTCTAATCCCTCCATTGCCTCAGAGGGTTATAGAGTCAAAAGGATTCGAAATCTTCAAAATTAAGGCAATGTAGCAGAGTGGTTGAGAAGAGAAGACAGTCTCTGGAGGCAGACTTTGTAGATTTAAATTCTGGACCATACTGTGGGACCTTGCAAAAGTAATTAATCTCTCTTTGGTCTCCTCATCTATAAATTATTGTGAGAAATATATTGACATATTAGAATGGTAGAATAGTGCCAAGCACATAATAAGCACTCGATAAATGTTATTATTATTGATGCTTTTGTTGTTCAACCTCCCACCTACTTGAAGAATGCTTTCCAGAGTGTCTCTAGCATTGCTGATAGGTGGTAACTCAGCCAGTGATGACTGCAGCACATATTCCTTAACTCTCTCCTTCTATGCGTAGATGGGAAGATTATAGTAATAAATAACTATAGCATATATCATTTTCTAAGTGCTTACTATGTGTAGGTTTTGACAGCCTTAAGAGAAAGATGATAATATTCCCATTTTACAGAATAAATAAAGGCTTAGAGAAGTTCAGTGGGAAAACTGAGATTCACACTTGTGTAATCTGCCTCCTAATATTAGACTTTTAACCTCTACATCTTTTGCATTATCTTGTACAATATTAAAATATATTCTCTCAGCCCTTCTTCTGGAGTGAGATTTGGGCCCTATCAGACAGATATACAGCCTCCCCTATGACTTAGGTCCTCGAGTACTTTCTTATAACTGCCCTCTTTGGGTCGGTATTTTCTCCTCTCCACAGGAGATGGAAGTGAACATGAAGGTGATACCCCTGAACTAGAAGCAGAACCTCCCAGAATGTTATCCAGTGTGTCTGAAGATACTGTTCTGTGGAACCCAGAGCAAGATGAGAGCTGGGATTCTACCCCCAGAGGTTCTAGAGGAATGCTTCTGGGCTCCCCTTTTCTTCAGGAAGATAGTTTCTCAAACCTTCTGTGTAACACAGAGATGGATTCTCTGTTAAGACCCCACACATGCCCCCAATGTGGGAAACAGTTTGTGTGGGGCTCCCACCTCGCTAGGCATCAGCAAACCCATACTGGGGAGAGGCCCTACAGCTGCCTGAAATGCGAGAAGAGCTTTGGGCGAAGACATCACTTAATCAGGCATCAGAAAACCCACCTACATGACAAGCCCAGCAGGTGTTCTGAGTGTGGCAAGAATTTCCGATGCAACTCCCATCTGGCCAGCCATCAGAGAGTGCACACAGAAGGTAAATCCTGTAAGAGCCAAGAGGTTGGAGAGAGCCCTGGAGGAAGGAAAAGGCAGCGTGCCCCACCTGTGCCAAAGTGTCATGTGTGCACTGAATGTGGGAAGAGTTTTGGCCGAAGGCACCACCTTGTGAGACACTGGCTGACCCATACTGGAGAGAAGCCCTTCCAGTGCCCTCGCTGTGAGAAGAGCTTTGGTCGCAAACATCACCTAGACAGGCACCTGCTTACCCACCAGGGACAAAGTCCCCGGAGCAGCTGGGACAGAGGGACATCTGTCTTTTGAAATCTGTTTCTGCTACAGCTATAGTCAAATCTATCAGCTGGTGCTATCAGGAGTCACTGCCAGGGCTGCCCCTCTCTTGTACCCAATGGCCAAAATCATGAGCCCTGACCCCATCCCTAGAAAGATGAGGTCCCAGCATTGACCAGACCATTTTTCACCAGTTCTGTGAGACATCACATAAAAATAAGAGTCCTTTGGGCAAAACTTTTGGGAAACAATGCATACTACATGGGCTGATATTCAGCCTGAATCCATTCTCAAGGGTACAATGATACCCACAGTTTATGGCTGAAGTCCATTCTAATGGGTTGGATTCTGTGACATACCAGTTGTTAAATATTTTGAGTATCACCCTTGTATGCTATAACTATTATATTTTCTTTTTATATATACAAAGATCATTCTAGTATATTAAAGGTTCTGAAATCTACAGTAGAGCAAACTTAAGCTTCTATTAATGCAGTGTTTCCTAAATTTATTTGACCTTGGTATCTTTTCTATTTCACATCCCACAGAACTGGTGACTCCATGAAACACTCTGGTGAACACTGGGTTAGAGAGTAATGAAGAACCAAGAAGAAATGTAGATCAGGCATCCAGAGCCTCCTTTTCTATCCATAGGAAAGCCTGGGGGCCAAACCTTGTTCCTTGTGAGTCTGTCACTCTTACACCCCAATCATCTATATACATCTATACTTCTCACCCCCATCTGCTGAAAAACAAAGAATAACCTATTCACCCCCTTATTCCTGCTCCCTTCATTCTGCCCATACATACTTGCAACTGAGAGATCATACTACCATGCTAAGAGATGGACCTAATACCCCCAAGTAACCCAGGCCCATACAGAAGAAAAAAATTATCTCCTTGAACAGACCCCTTTCCTCTTGACTATGTCTTTATGTGTCTATGTGTCTATATGTGCAGAGTCTTTGAAGAGAGCATGCTAAGTGCAAACTATAAAAGCTAGGTTTTCTAGGGGCTGTGTTATAGGGATGAGGGTAGTGGGGATTGTATGGATTTTTTGGTTTGTTTTGTTTCAAGATAGGATGTAATCTGAGTGATTAAGGGAGCCCTAGTGGAAGTTCAAGATAGGATGTAATCTGAGTGATTAAGGGAGCCCTAGTGGAAAGGATTAAATGTTAAATGATGGGTTAAGTTGTGGAAGTTGAGTATAAAGCTTTCCCTAGTATCACTGAGATCAAGACAATTGTGGATGTATGTCTAGATCTAAATCTCTGGGCTGCAGACTATTTTTACCTAGGAAAAGAGAGAAGATGTCTTCAGTGAGGTGAACTGTTTCTTGTTGATTTCAGGCAAGGTGCATATAGAGGCTTTGTGGTGAGTGGGATTTTTCTTTGTTTCAAGTGCTGGGAAATTAGGACAGGAATCACAGTGTTTGCAAGTTGTCATCATCCTTGTTTGAACTCTGATTGCCTCATCAAGGAGGAAGTTATTCTTGAGGATCTCATTCTCCCCAAAACAGAACTTTAAAATGGCTGTGGCTTAGCTTTTCAGCTGATGCAGGGTAATGAACTTTCTGCTTTGTTTTCCTCCCAATTCTGGGAAGGTGTCTACACTGTTAACGCTTTAGCACTTGTGTAAGTATTGTAGCATCTGTTAGTTGATGAGTTGGTCGTTGTTTCAAATAACTGTAGGGATAGAAAGTGAAGCCCCCACAATGTAGGTACAGTTGTAGCACTCAGCTGAAAGGCATCATGGAGCCTAAAGGCCATCTGCAGAAGGGGCAATCCTCTGGGTCATTTCTGTGTATCCTTGTTTTCTCTACCTCGGTCCAATGCCACCTCTCTTGGACAAAAAATAAAACAAGCAACAGCCATCAGATGAGTGAATAGATTTGAATGATTTTTCCCACAGGAAACTCAAATGTTCATGTTCTACCTAACTGCCATGGGTGTACCCTATCCCCTTTAAATAAAAAGTGTTTCTGTATTCTCTTTGGGGAAAATGTAAAACAGGGACATTCATCTTCAAGAACCTGTCACATTTTCCATCTGTGGTGCCTATATCCTATTCTAAGTCTCTTCCACGTTCTACCCTAACACAGTATCTCTGCAAAGAATCCCTTGCACAGGAGAATGTAACAAAATGAGTTTTTCCCAAAGCTCTTTACATTTTAAGCCTTAGCTATAATTGTGTAAAGAAAAGCATTTCCCTTGTTAAAGCAATATTATGCCTTTGAAGAGGTAAAGAGGTAATAATTTGGGACAATGCCCCCTTCCAACATTCCTGTAATCAATCCACTGTTTTCTATTGCCATAAAGGAGGGTGTCCAACTTTTTTCTTTTCTGCTGCACAATGGAAGAATAAGAGTTGTCTTGGACCACCCGTTAAATACACAAATACTCATGAAAGCTGATAAGCGAAAAAAAATGTCCGTGCATACTTTTTGTGATATTGAACACCACAGATCAGCAAAACAGTCCTCAAATAATCTGCAGGCAACCCACAGGTTGGACACTCCTACAAGGGCAAAGTGAGCCCTACCTCAGACCTATTGGAGCCACTTCTATTGTGAAGAATACACTGAATACAAGTGTATTGTATTCAGGGGCTGGGCAAGAACAGAAAAACGAAATCTATTCCTTTAGATCCTCTAGAAAGCCTAAGCTGGCAAAATTTTCCTCTATTCCCTTGTGTGTTGAGAACCCTGACGTTGGTTCTTAAAATGTGGTCTTTAAACTAGCAGCATCAATAGCACCTGGAAACCTGTTTAAAATACAAATTCTCAGGCCCCCTCCAGACCTACTGAATCAGAAATTGTGAGGCCAGAACTCAATCAGTCTTTTAATATGCCCTCCAGGATATGTGATATAAGCCAAAGTGTGAGAGCCACTGGCTAGGGGATTCATATTCCATTTCAAGTAGTGGTGCCCTACTCTCTTCAAATGGATCTTCACATTCCTGTGGTCAGGTTTACTCTCTGCAACCTCACCAGGATAGATCTTAGTTTCAGACTTCCCCACCTTTAACTCAGTGAAAGAACTGGGGTTAGTCACCAATTTCAGAAACTGTGATAGGCAACTACTAAGTTCTGGTGATTGATTGGGGCTGGGGTTTCTGATATGGGCACTGGGGATAGTTGGGTCCAGAAATCTAAAAGGATGAAAAGGAGCAACTTCAAAGGAGGAAAATCCAATACAAAGCTGAAAAACTGACATTCAAGGAAATTATCTTCCTTTGTCTGGTCCTTTACCCTGGCTTTCTAATAAGATGTCCTGGAGGCAGCTGTTCAGCACAAAGAGAGGAAGGCCTGCTATACCGAGTCCTCAAGGCCCAAGGTTTCCAACTTCACAATTGGAATAGGGACCAAGAAAGGGCCATGGGAGGGATTTCTAAACATGATTTGGCACACCCACTGGACAAAGGCGGCAGGAGCATCAGAGAACACCCAAGGCACAAGAGGAAACTAGGCTTACAGAGTAAGATGTAACACTATCATAGTTTATCTCTTTAAGCTACTGGCTAGTTCCATTCCATCATGAGCCCTCTCACTACCTATCCCTCTATATACTGTCCAGTTTCTTTTCTATCAGCTTTAAGCTTACTAGGCAGGGGTCAACTTCTTACACTTCCCACTCTCTTCCCTCAAATTCTTGGCTTGGCTATAGCAACTCAGCTGCTATCTCACCACCCTGGCTCTTTCAGACCTACACAATCACCCTATCCCCTATCTAGTAATCTAGGCCCCTGACTTCTTTACTACATTCCCTAGAGCCTGTCCTTCCCTTGACGTAACTGCCAAAGTCACCTTCCAATTTTTAGCATTTTAATTTACTCCCTTCCAGTCTCCTGTAGTCCTTAAGAACCAAACTTGATTCTATAAGCAAACTTCTGTGTACCATGTGCCAAGTACAGTAATTGCCTGGGAGATCAAGTGTGACCTTGGTCCCTGTCCTCTTCAGCTGAGCCTCTTTCCTGCCATGTCTCAGCACCTGGACGCTCTCCTGCAGAAGCTCTGGGAGTGTATGCCCACTTGCTATCCTGCCCAGCCGCTCTGTGTCTGCCAGATTTCTAGCTATCTGATTTGGTTCCCTCTGTTCACAGACTGAATTTCCCATGCTTTGTGCTAGTTGAAGAAAGAACATGTTGGCTGTGTCACTGATTTCTTGGTCCTCTCTTCCAGTTCCCTGCTCTTCTCTGCTGATAAAAAGGCTGCAACACAGTGGAGGGGAGGTAGGTCATAGTCTTGAGCAAGCCCCCTCCTCTCTATCTGAAATAGAAACCTTAAGACACAACAGTTTGGGCCTGGCTGCCTCTTTCCAAGGGTCCTGGCCCCCACTCACAGCTTCCCAGCTGGACTAGGGCTTGATCCAACCTGGTGACGCTGCTGATCCAGCTGGTGGCCCACTTGCCTCAGTGGCAGAGTGCTGAGCAGGGCCCTGACTAGGGAGGGTGCCCAGGGCACCAGTTTAAGAAGGCCCTGGGTTTCTTCACAGACTGAGTGTTCTGAGACCAGGTTTGTAGCCCCAAGAGGTGGTGACTGCGATTTGACCCCACCTAGGCAAGTTCTGAATAACTAGGTATGTCCCACAAGCCAGGTAAAGTGCATACAGATGGGATTAGAAACCAGTCAGCTAGACCTGTGGATTCAATGCTAATGGGGAGGAAATGGTTGTGGGAGAAAACACGAAAAATAGGGGGGTGGTGGGTGGTAAGGGGGTCAGAGGTGTGGCAGCAGGAAGGGTGGGTGATGTGTGTCTCCAAAGACTTGGTCTCCAGTCTCCTGTAGCTTTCCTTAAAGCAGCCAGGCTGTTTTGTCACCTCTGAACTTCCTGTTTCTTGTGTTCATTCTCGCTTCCTCCCAAGCCACTTGTAGTCTGGTTTTTTTCATCACCAAAACGGAAGGAAGGAAGGGAACTGAGAAAAGGGAAAGGAGACAGCCACCGGGAGTGTTTTCTCAGCCAGCCTAATGGACTGTTGAGAACTTGACATCCTTCTCTCTACTCTTTCCTACAAGTATCTTTCCCAGCCTCATTGAAGCCCTCAGGTTAACACCCACCCCCTCGGTCTTCAGATACTCTTCCAAATTCTTTTGCCTTTTTTTACAGTCCTTTCCTGACTTGGTACCCCCATATTATCTTCCCAAACAACCCGTCTTCCTGTTGTCCCTAGGCATTTAGATTTCTGCTGGCGTGATAAAGAGCCTAGTCAAGTTAGAGCTCCAAAGATGGCTGAAGTTAACGAGCAGGTGGTGAGGCTCCCCAGTCAGTATCTAGAAATGGAGTGAAGTGGAGAGAGCACTGAATCTGTAAGT